GTACGTTTTTGCTGGTTAGTAAAGAAAACCTTATGATGATATGAGCTATGGCAACCTCGATGAAATATTAAAAATATAGTTACAGGAGATTTAGTAGTTGGAAGAATTGAAGTAAAAAGTCGTAGGAGTGTCGCTCAAAGAGCACGTAGGTAAATAAAGAATATTGTCAATAGATTAATTAATACACATAATTATTAATTGTAAGTAAATAATGATTAATAATATTAAACCAGGTGTAGAAGTATTTGATGCAAACTAGTGAGCGCGCTTTCCTAAAAAAAACTGATGCAAATGAACCGCGCGCAGCACTCTGATAAGAAAATGTGAAATTCAACTGATTTCTTTTCTTAAAAAAAAACTTTAATTTGAGAAAAAGGTCAGAACAGGGTAAAAACTTCTTGAGGAAGAGCTGCTTTTCTTCCTGTAACCGGAAATGTTACGACCGCGCAATAGAGAAGGCAAACATACAGCTGTTTTTATAGAGAATGCCGACGGGGAGATTGGGAAATCCATGATAGAATGTTAGGTATTATAGGTGCTCAACATGTATGGAAGATCCGCTCGTGCTTTCTTAGACAATCTTTCGGGAATAGATAAAATTCCCCCCAGTAGAAATTGACGCGCACTAAATGAAAATGTGGCTGAAATCGTCTGTCGCCCATGAACAGGTGCGATCAGATCCATGGCTTTCGCGCATTCGACGTCAAAAACATCCTTTTTCATGTTTGCRTTGATCTTAACAAAGGATATACGCTTTTTATTTTAGAATATATATGTATCAAGACGATTGGAAATGAGTAAAACAGTAGGTGGTAACTGCGACCACTTGTCTACACTTTTGTCTCGAGCGATAGATGTTATTGCGTGCAGCAATTAGAGGAAAGATAGGAAGTTAGAAACCGCTATTGACAATGATTAAAAAACAAAAACAAGCTCGTCAAGGAATGGTATTAAAAATAGAGGAAGGGAAGGATGAACGGGAGGAATTAGGAAAAGTAGTTGGACTAAGGACACCAACAAGACTTATAGAAAAAAAGACAAAAACAAAGCAAATAGATGTAAAGAAACAAAAACGATCGATCGATTGAAGTCATTAAACCCGTGAAACAAAACTTAACTAGAGTGGTTTTCATAAACCCGTGAAACAAAAACTATTAGTTAAAGTGTAATAGCCAGACGACAACAAAAGAAAACATGGTATTAGGGTGTACTAAAGTGTATTAAACTAAAGTGTATTTCACGGGTTTATGAAAACCACTCTATTAAAAGTGTGATAGTCAAATAGACACAAAAGAAAAGAATACAATGAGAGCTTTCTAAGGTTTATTATTGCAATATATCTATTTATATTTTTTTACATCACTCTACTGAACAAACTGTTCCACTTTTTATGATAATATTTCCATGTTTGTATTTTTTATTATATATTACTCTTCTAAGCCATACATAATTATATATACCCATTTCCATAATGAACATATAATGTCTTCATTTAAGTCTACTTCTTTCTGGCAAATATATAATAAAATGGAATTCCTGATAAAATATAAGCAAGAGCTATTAAAGAAGGTTTGGGTTTTTCCACAAAGGGAGCAATAACAAGATATAAAGCAACCATTACCATCAGTACTGGAATGATTGTCCATACTTTATAAGGTCTGTGCTTATTTGGCAACTTATAGCGAAGAACGAGAAGGGAAGATATAGTTCCACCGTAGAACAACCAGGCAGCAAAGCTAAAGCAACTTATAAGAGATTCAAGGTTGCTTGGAATCAGAAGAAGAATTGCAATACAAGAAGGGAAAGACACAGCGTATATTGGCATTTTAAGGTGGGAATTGATGGAAGCAAGAAAAGATGGCATGTGGTTTTCTTTCGCAGCTGCACACACAACTTTACTGTTTGTAAAAACAGAACCATTTGCTGCCCCAAAACATGAACAAGCAACAAGCAGAGGCATCACTGCAAGAAAGACAGGATTTAACTTCTCACCAAAAGAAACAGCAACTGCACTTGAAGAAATGATTTCAGCTGGAGTGAGGACGCTCAAGTAAGCTATGTTAACAAGTACATAGCAGAGAGTAACTAATGGAAGAGCCATAAGCATAGCCCTTGGGAGATTCTTTGCAGGATTTTGAAGATCTCCAGCRACATAATTGAGTGCATTCCAACCATCAAAAGCCCAAAGGCCGCTGTAAAATGCATGCACAAGTTGACCTGGATCCCTACTTGTTCCTTTGAAAACGTTTTGAAAATTCTGAGTATGTCCTGTCGCTAGATTATAGGCTCCTATAATGACGACTAAACCAACAGCCAGAAGCTTCATAGATGTGAAGAGAACTTGTGTTTGGGCACCTAATTTAGTACTAATACAATTAATTACAGTCAGAACTATTATACAGATCATTGCTATAAATTTAACTAACAGAGTTGGTTCTTCTGAAGTTTCTTCTGGTAAAAATGGCAGACAAGAATAATAAGCAAATCCCATACATATGATAGCAATAGAGGCTGGCTTTAGCACTAAAATCACTGTCCAACTAACTAAGAAAGCTACCAAGTGTCCATATGCCTCTTTGATGTAGATATACTCTCCTCCAGACTCCTGAATCATTGCTCCTAGCTCACAATAGCACAGGGATCCCAGAAGTGCAATCATACCACAAAGTATCCAAACTACTATCATCATTCCAATGGAACCAGATTTTTCAAGGACGTATCTYGGAGAGACGAATATACCTGACCCAATCATGACGCCAATTATMAGTGCCACGCCTTGAAGAAGTGTAACAGTTTTGACTTCTCKGTCTTTCTTGAATGATCCAGATTTGGACTTAGTCAAWGGAGAATACATTGTGCCTTTTGCTGTTTCTTTTTTGTGTTCTATAATTAAAATGATGTTTCGGTTATGTATCAAATTGAATTATGGGTATTGCGAACACAGAATTATAACTGGGCAGCAGGGGTGATAGGAATTATAAATATGTGCTTGTCTTACAAAAGACACAAGGTGTGTAAAGTCACTTGTCACTGTTTGGTGCACACTTTTTTTATCAGCCAAGCCTCCCCCCTCCCCGTCATCCCTCCTTC